TGCACAGAGGGGATTGTCGGGAAAGAGATGGCTGTTTGAGGAAGCTCCCATTTATTAACATTTCAACAAACAAGTTGCATATTTGCATAACGTATTCAAGTGTTACCATTTAGTGCAATAGTAGCTACAGAACATGTACTGTGCTGTGTAAACTGTACTGTATCACATAGCGTTTCAGACACACAAACTTTTCAACTTTCAAACTTAAACGGTGCGCTCCCAGCACACGTACCGGCAGTGATCTACAGCAGTGGTTTTCAACCAGTGGTACGGGGACAAACTGTCTCGCTCTCGTAATGTCTGTCTGTCTTGCTCTCGTTCTGTGTCTCGTACCACTCTCGGTTCCACTTTTACTTTTGCACGCTACCTGTCTCACTTTTTCCGGCCTCCAGCTTTTCCTGCTGGAGCCCGCCGCTTAAAGGTGGGGGTCCGCGGACCGGCCATAGAGCCCATAGAGTTAAAGGTGGTGGACTGTAACCTGTAAAGTCCATAGATTTAGGAGGTCCCCTAGTGGCCGTTAGCTGTACAAATCCATAGATTAGCCGCACCGTTATATAAGCCGCAGCGTCGAGAAATGGGAAAAAAGGCGCGGCTTATAGTCCGAAAGTTACGGTACATGTGTTTATTTCAGATTGTCACCTGGAATAAATAAATATTCTGATTCTGATAATCGTCATGTTAATTCACACACTCGTCTTAAATGCATGAATAACTCTTCTCTGCGTGCCTGCAATCTTTTTAAAAACTTAAAATAACTTTATTTTGTCCCCTTCAGGCGGGAGGTGCGCCCCCGGAGCTGAACGCCCTGCGGAGTCGCATCACAGCGCTGGAGGAGGAGAGGGAGGAGAACCTCTGGAAGGTGGAGCAGTACGAGGAGCTCAAAGCTAAGAACGGTAACAAACTCAAACCTGACAGCAGAGACTTCAGGGCTTCATGTTTTATCTGTGTCTGTCATTTCAAGATTCAAGATTCAAGATACAACAGGCTTTTATTGTCATTCGTACATAGCTACAGTGTAGTTATGACGATGAACATCTTAGGTCACAGGCTCCTCCTCCAACACAATAAAACAGATACAATACGTGAAAGTAAATACAATGAAATAGAGTAGAAGTAGTGCCATAAGAGTCTCTATAAGTGATACTTCATTGTTAATGGATGTTCTTAGTTCAGGTGTTTAACGGTCTTGTTGCCTGTGGACGAAACTGTCCCTGAGTCTGGTGGTTTTCTCGCTGTGATGCCAAAATGAACTCTGTTTGTTTGATGTTTTCTGGTAGAAACGCTGGAGGCTAAGCTGGAGGTGTACGAGGAGCAGCAGAGGACCCTACAGGCCGACCTGGAGCAGTTCACCAAGAGGACGGCCTCTCAGGTTAGAGGGCAGACTTTCCTGCTTAATCTTTGTGCCTGATTTACAGGGAGTTAAATAGTTCCTCAAAAAGTATTAATAGGTCTTAGATTCAATTGTCAAATGTGAGCCGAACAATGTCTAAAATGGTCTTGAATATGATTTTATACTTCTTAAATTGGACGCTCTAAATCTTGCTAGAATGTGCTTTCATTGTGGAAGACTTAAATAATGTTCTGCTTCACTCGGGTGCGATGGGAAATGAAAGTAGACATGGATGGAAAATACCAAATCATCCACAGATCTCCTCCTCTCTTCTTTAATGTTAAGATATTACATGTATACCTTAAATAACACATTAACTGCTGTTAACTTGTCCCCACCATAACTGTGTTTTGTTACAGCCTATTTTAAATTTCTCTGGGTTGTTAACAAGAGTCTAAAGGAGCCAACTAAACGTCTTCACGGCCAACATTAGCCACCTTTAGCTTAGCGGTGGTGACGTGAAGTCATGTGACCGTGCTGTAGTTCCTTTATAGCCCAACATTAGCCACCTTTAGCTTAGCGGTGGTGACGTGAAGTCATGTGACCGTGCTGTAGTTCCTTTATAGCCCAACATTAGCCGCCTTTAGCTTAGCGGTGGTGACGTGAAGTCATGTGACCGTGCCGTAGTTCCTTTATAGCCCAACATTAGCCACCTTTAGCTTAGCGGTGGTGAGGTGAAGTCATGTGACCGTGCTGTAGTTCCTTTATAGCCCAACATTAGCCACCTTTAGCTTAGCGGTGGTGAGGTGAAGTCATGTGACTGTTAGTTTCTTGTTCCACTTAAGAAGTGAGGGGTTTTGTTTATTGTTTGTTAGTTATTTATTTTGTGTATTTAATAGTTAACTCTTAGTTAAGAGTGTCCCTTAGTTTCCCTTTGTTTGTTTATTTAAACCGGTGCCTTTCTGGCCCTTTGTTTTGTTTGTGGCTGCTTTTTGCCATTTCATTTGAGCTTTGAGCTTTTAATGTACCAACACCAACTGGTTATATGTTACTTTCCCTTTCCCCCGAGCTCGGACGTAACAACATTGTTGAAACCTTCTTAAACTCACCCTGTACCTCTCTCCCTGTGTGCTGTCAGGCGAGTGAGTCGGGCAGTGCGGACGACACTCAGAGTCACGTTCTGGAGTGGCAGGAGATGGTTTCTGATGCCGTCAGCGCCAGGGACCGGGCCAAAGAGGAGAAAGCTGCCATGGTGCTGCGGATCAGCCACATGGAGGAGGAGAGGGAGGGTAAGACTGCAGGGTGACACACATCCACAGCTGTTAGCACTCTCAGATCACCAGGAGTCACTAATAGGGCCACAATGCACAGGAAATTATTTATTTTTGTAGAAAATCTCACACAGATGTTGCCTAATGCACACCTAATCTGCGTCGAAAAATCTCACACACTGCCAATCGTCAATCTGAGTCTCCTTTAATAGATCTTTAACTGACCAATAAGCGCACAAATAAACCACACATTTAAGCAAATCTATTTTCTTTCTTTCTCTTTAAGCATCTCTGAAATAAGCAGTAATTTAACTCAATCTCCTGACTTTCCATTCTCTCTACTTAAATTGAAATAATTCTCATTTATTCTTTCGTCTTTATACTGATCAATTTATGAGTTTGATGACCATGCTTAAAATGATTAATTGTTATTATTAAAAGAATAAATCATTAATGTTTGAGCCAGAATTTCACCCAGCCCTTTTTTTTACCATCAAAACTTCATCACCATGTTTGTCCCTCCTGTTTTGCTCTTCACAATTTATTTCTTAAACATTTAGTGGATTAAAGTTTAGCTGTAGTGGCCCAGATTTGACAAATTGGTTATTTCTAATATTGGGCTTAATGATAAAAATGTACTTGATTTTATTACATTAGATACAGATTTGAATCAGTTTCTATTTACATTATTTCAGTTCAATTGTATTATATTGTATTAACTCACTCTTGCGGCGAGTGGTGTTCTTCAGTCTGAAGTAGGGCTGCTCGATTATAGCAAAAATCATAATCTCGATTATTTGGGTCAATAATTGTAATTGCGGTTATTAAATGCGATTATTCATTGACTTTGAAAACATTCATTTATTGGAGAAAAAACTTTTGAACAGTTTGTTTTGAACAGTTGATTACCCTGAACTTTAAGTATAATTCATCTGAAAAACCAATACAAAAAAAAAATTATTTAAAAAAAGTAATAATAATAATAAAAAAATAATCGTTTTATTAAAATACGATTAATTGAGCAGCCTTAGTCTGAAGTTTGGAAACGTTTCTAAATCTAGCGAGAAAGTTGCTGATTTCTCTCCCTTTTGTGTTTCTGAAGCTTTGACAAATACCGGTCACTAAGATAAGATAAGACAATAACTTTATTGATCCCAATTTGGGACATTGTTGTGTTGCAGCAGCATAAAAAGAGATATTCAATAACAATGAAAAGACAAGAAATAAACAAGAAAGCATACTACTTGTGTGGCTGACTACTACATTATTGTAGTAGTATGGACACTAAGTTGACAGCGTGTTATCGAGAAAAACTTCAGGATTGCATTCAAGTCTGGAGACGCGTAGAAAGAATTTTGAAAAAAACTTTAAAGTAAATAAATAAATGAAATAAGTAAAATATAAAAATGTATTAATAATAGTCCTATTTTAACAGGAAAATAGGACTTCAAGTAAAAGATTTCTGTCCGACAAACACGGAAAGAAACAAGCTCTTAATAAAATGTTTACAATGTCGTCACCGGCTCAGAGACGCCGGTCCCTTCCCATAGCTTGCCCTCTCGTTGGAATCAATTAGAAAAGACGCCGGCGCTCAGAAAACGGTGCGATGTGGAAACCGGCCCTAAGGATATGGTTTTTGTTTAAACACAGGAATGTGGATGAAGCCTTAGACTCTTTGATTTTGTTTACCACATGTCCTCTGCTATCTGACTCAACATTATTTGTGTTTTCTCGCCCCCCCCCGCCCCGT